CTCTCTCTCTCTCTCTCTCTCTCTCTCTCTCTCTCTCTCTCTCTCTCTCTCTCTCTCTCTCTCTCTCTCTCTCTGTTTCCGCCTTTACTCTTTCGCCGGACCTTCATGCCATATACCGAGATATACAGAGACACTTTAGCCGCGCGAAATCGGAAGGAACCGGTCGTGATCTGATAACTACTCTCCTCTTTGAACGCTCGTGCTTCTTTGAGACGAGGGTATTCATTATTCAGTTTCAGTGACACATAAAACAACAACACAAGCTTGAGTTTTATATTTATATCGAGGTATCTGTCGCTCTGCATTCATCGCTTTGACACGTGCAAACATTGAAGATTAGATTTGGTATTAATGTCAACACGTACTCTATTCTCTTTCAAACAATTCTAACTTTCTGTAATATAGCCATTCTTGTGATTCATATTCACTGGCGTATGCGAGGCCACTGTTTTTATTTTTCATACACCGCATCTAAAAGAAAATCGGCGACAATGTTTATTCACGAAATAAAGTGGAAAAATTCTCTGGTCTGATACGAGCAGCGATGTAAATGTTGGAGAACACGGAGGGTGGAATTTCACGTCGAAACTCTGTCCTTCTGGTAGAAAATGGATAAAAGGAAAAGATAGAGAGCGTTTACCTGTCCAGTTTGTTGAGCATTATTAGGATCTCCACTCTCCTTGCCCCAACTGCACTTTACTGTTTGGCCGTTGATGTCTGTGTTGTGTACCGCTACGATGGCGTGCGTGGCCGACTCCTTGGTAGAAAACCTGAAATCGAAAGAGAAGGGAATTCAAGTCTTTTGTTAAGACGCGTCCTTCGACGTCAATGTTGGTGCGACGCGATGGTGTGTGCAAGCGGAAAAATCCCCGAAGCAATACGGTACTTTTGCCACAAGTTAAACCGGACCTTATTATAGCAGCTTAACGAAATGGTCTCTGCGACTAATGCAGTTTAATTTATGCGAGTTTATCGCGCACATGAATGAGCACGGTAATTGTGAATCTCGACGAATCTAGATTACTCCAGATAGGTATTCAATGTTAAATTCTACGCGGCTGTTTACGCCGGATTAATTTCCAGTTTGCTCGAGTATTATTTTGGATGAACAAATGTGTATTGTTGCAATCACAAGACGTGATATACAAAGTTTATACTTCAATATAATGTCCATCCAGCATATTTCAGAAAATAGAAATGTGAGAAAGAGAATAAAATGCTCCAAGTATGTTGAATTTACTTGATAGTGTTTACATCGTGTTTTTCGTTGCTGCAAAATATACATATATCTGTCATTTCTGTTACATAAAAATTCAAGTACATGAATACTAATTCTGAGCTGATGCTCTTTAATTATTCCGAGTATGGGATCCATCGTGTTTCGATAAATTTCATCAGCTTAGTTTCGCAGGGCGAGAGGACTAGAGTTTTCGAGAATCTGATTAGAGCGCAATGAATTCAACGGCAGGGTGGCAGGGAATTATTGAATTTATCGAGGATTAGGTCACTTTTAACGTTCGCGTTCGAGATTGCACAATGGCGACTTCGTCCATGAGTTTGCCCCTTCCCATCTATCGAGCTTCCATCCACGATCGTTGAGTAGGACGAACGATGGTCATCGTCAGCAACCCTCCCTCCCCCCCCCCCACCCCCTCTCTAAGACCGTACCTCAAGCGATAACCAGCGGCAGATAAGATTCTTTCTTTCACCCGAGAAGAAAAGACCTCCTTCCCTTATCCACCCACCCGTCTTGCTTTCTCGCTGTACCTTAAGTCCATACGTCATCCCGAGATATTCGTTTCCGGGTTCCACGCTATGGAAGAACAGAGGGAGGAAGAGCAATTAGACGGCAGATATCTGAACGACGGACATTGTCCAGGGGTGGCAGAACTGTGGCAGACATACGAAACGGCCATCGTATCGGAGAAGGATGGACATATCGAGCAGCGAACACGAGGGAGAGGGGTAGAGAGAGAGAGAGAGATACGTAAGAGAAGGTTTTTTTGCGTCTTTCTTCCGTCCCCGTTTCCTTCTAGGCTTTTGCTTCATCCTCTTTCTCTTATCGCTCGTTCTAGAGCAACCCTCCTACTCTCTCGGCAGTCTTTTCTGAGGTAGGTCACGGATTTCTCGTCGTTGTTAAGGTAGAGCGCTGAATTCGCTTTTGACAGATATAAATGTTTAACTGATTTCCCGTTACGTTTCTTTTTTACGGCTTGAAAATATCGACGTAGACACGATCATCTGCGTAGGGCAATGTTTAATTTTTAATCGTGGCAATTAATCTCTATTTCTATGAAATTATTCACAAAACATGACTTTCATTAAAGAATTTAACAATTCTTTATTAATGTTTTTGAAACATACATAAAGTTGATTTCGTCGGTATGGGAAGTTGAACCGAAATATATGATCTGTGCGAATGTAATGGGTAGATTAATGAAATGGCCACGATTCGAGCTTGATGAGTCCGACATGCTGCCATTGACCCGACATGTTCTCGCGTTTCGTGCCATAAATCACGAGCGACGGTGGATATTGATGCACCATTCATGCGATTTCCTAATATTTCGTAAAATCTCATTTGATGACTCGCATTACGCTGGTACCAATCATCGCGCATGATTTTGAGCACAATTTCCTCAAGTTTTGCTATCGCCGTTGTATTATACGCTTAAAATCCAAAATCCAATCACTTTATGCAAATGCATCCTTTGTGTACGTACGATGGTTCTACCTGGTTGGCCTTAGGCCAGATTGTTCGATTTTGTGATAAATTTATCCGGACAGTCGGTGTAAGCATATCATTAGTCATAATATGTGTACGGCAATCTAGCGTAATGGCTTGAGAGTGATTGGCTAAATAATAGGTAATAAGAATGATATAACTTTTCATGACGATCGATTAGTTTACTTTATATAAAACATATGCTCTGTTAAAATATACATTTATTTCTAAATAAAAATAACTTTAAATCAATTTGTCTGAGATACAAGTAATTATATACTTTTGTTCGATATTCTGGAAAATTTCATTGCATTTCACACGGGTGAATTGAATACTTGAGTAAGAAACAAGAATAGTAAAAGATTTACACTAGTTATATTATTATAACATACCGTCAAAGAATACGTAAATTAAAGTTTGGCTTAATTTACAATAACGTATGGTAATAGTAAGTTTTTGTCCTAGATTCCTCTTTTTTATAAGGCAGTAAAAAGCTTCGGTAATTAACGAACTTTGATTATATAATCAGTGAAATGGTTTCAAGGGTTTCATACTAAAGTTCCGTTTAATTCCGTTTAATTCTTCACGAGAATTGGCCTTAAGTGTTCTTTGTGGAGTCTGGTGATCGATAAATCATTTTGTAATTTAAACGGCGATAGAGTAAAATGACTTTTAATTACGACCATTCATTAAGATATGGAGAAATAATTCGTGAATCTTACGTTAATCTGTTTAAAAAAAAATTATGGCAGAGATGACTAAAATTATACATATTTTTTTATACAAAAATAGGTGAATATCTGAAGTTATTTCAAACACGTTTTTTTTCAGAAACTATTTGTTTGAAGCAACGTAGTTTATTAGATAAGTGGAGAATCTGTGCTCACATTTCTATTTTGAGATTAGAACAGTATCTAAAAAAGATTGGTTTTACGTTCACAAGAATAAATGCAGTCAGTCGATTTTAAATGCACTATTTTCGTAAACATAAAATTATATAGACCACGCAAAAGGTTAATGCATTGATGAATACGATCTACGAATATCGTGCTAACTTTGTAATGAAAAAAGGCATAACTAGAGCAGTTATTATTTTCCATGACACCGTTATGAAAGCTATGTAGCGAAATAATTTATATATCAATGCATATGGTGGCAATGTATATAATTCTACAGTCAATTTTACTATAAAGTTAAAAATATTTATATCGGTTTTTTAGTTTTTGCAACAAATTACAACAAAAAATGAATAACCATATATCCATGCGCACATATATTAATTGTTACTTTCGTGCCGAGTCGCTCCCTAAATTCAAATTATTCGGTAGAAATCAAACAACGTTCGTTGTTGAGGAGACGTTATTGTGTAACGGACTCCATGAAGATTCGGAGTTTAGTTTTTGAGCTAAACGAACGTGTTTGCACTTTAGCTGCGCTGTATTTTTTCTTGAATAAATCTAATCTTTTCCACGAGCCGACTCTGATTATTTTTGCGAGTATACGCGAGTATGCAACATGCAAGTCAGCCACAGGCGTGACATTATACACATATATGTGTATATACATATACGCATGAACTGATTTTACAAAAGTATGTCATATAAGTATAAATATTCCAATTTAATAAGCGTCGTAATGAAATTTAAGTTTAATAAACGTATTGTAATTTAATGAGAGTAAATTTTATTTGGCAAATGGTTTCTGAATTTTTTTTCTAAATGCAATTTTCTAATAAATGCTGATTTAATTCAGCACCGATGAGCAAGTTTGAAAATATTTAAACATCGTGAATACCTTTTAATATAATCATTATAAAATGTACATATTTACCTGATAAAAGCATAGCCTTTGTCCTTAAACACTCGAATTTCTTGGATGGATCCGAAGGGCGAGAAAGTTTTCTGCATGAGTTCTTCTGTTAAACCGTTGGTTAAACCGCCGCAGTATACCGTGCAGTTGGTCGGACTACTTTGATTGTAAACTTCATCGAACGTCAACGGCTTCGCATTCGCTGTGAGACAAAAAAATGATACACTTTAATCTTCATTTACTTGTATAACCTGTTGAGAGGTCTAAGAAAAACTGGTTCAAGCGTTAATAATCGTAGCTACGACACCCGAATACCAATTGTTACGTGTCTTTCTTGACTCAGAACATAAACTTATAACGTAATATGGTGATAAATATTTATAAATTTGCACGGAATCCTCACATATTGCAATTTAATGTGGAAGAATATGAAATAGATTAAAAACAGTTTATTGCGAGAGCTCAATTATGGCTTGAGCTAACGAGTTTTGTGCTGTGAATTTTTAGATTATATTTACTACAAGTTGCTGATGTTGATTTTGTTTACACCAAGAGATTAATTACTCTTAGCAAATATAAAATTCAAAATTGTGTAGAGAAGTTTAATAAGTTTACTTTAGATTCATGTATAACGCCCACTATATTACAAGCTGTTTTAATCGACGTCAACGTACCAATTTTCCTCAATTGCGCTTAATTCGAAACTCTATCAATTACAAAATTCTGAAAATGGGATGCTGCTTTCGTAGACGTTATTACGTGTCAAATATTAGTAACAATGTTGTAAAATTGCGACAACAAAATTATTTCTTGATCAGGGAAACGTTTCGGAAAATATTAGCTGTTGCGCCCCATCGCAGCGTTTATTTTGTTATCAATCAATGCGGCACAGTCATGTTGCTGAACGCATAACTCCTACTCGTATGCAGTCGTGATTGGCACACAAAGAATTAGCAGCGTTGAAGCGGAGAGTTACGCGGATATTCATCAAAAAACGATCAGCGCACGGTGTAATGATTATTCCGTTTGCGACATCCAACGGCGATCGGATACGATCCCGATAGTAATATAAGAAACAACACGCACGTGGGGCCTTGGGAAAGCCATTATTGAAAGTATCTACTTCCCCCAACGCGATAGATCTCTCATGTATCCTTTACCTCTTCTCTCGCCCCCTTTCCTCCCGCTTACCCCCGCGGCATTACTTTTACTGATACTGCGAAAGAGGTCAACTGGGTTTCACGGTGTGGTCGGAGCGGGACGCGCAGAGCTGCTCGAGATATCGAACGCCAATGCCAAAGAGGTTGAATCCCGTCAGCTAAGTTTACGATCGTACGGGGGCTTAGCCTATACGGTAGAAGCCAGGCTACGGGTGTAAACGCGACCGGTAAACCACGGCCTGTAATTGCCTCGTTCGGGGATGGAAGGTTCTCAGAACGGCAGAACGTCCCGTTAAGAACTTACCGAGGGACGTTCTCTTCTTTTCTCAAAGCTCGGCATTATCTCTTTATTGCCTGGTGAACGTTATTCTCAGTATTCCCGGAATGTCGGCGCAGCTTGCCCGCCTCCGTCGCCGCCACTGCCTATGGTCGGCTTTAAAAAATTTTGTTTGTTCTAGAATGCTTATTTCGCAAAAAGAGAGATTGAAATATCTGCACTCCTGGCGCTTGCGAAGTCGTCAACTTTTTACGGTTCTACTTTCTTTGATCGCCGGTCGTTTTGCAACTTAATAGCTGCGAATTATTATACGACAAAACGTAACGAATAAATGCTTTATCGCGACACGCGTAGTTGATTAACGCGATATCATTCTACAGTCATGTGATTGCAAAATTTATTCATTCGTAAAGAAGATATTTTCAAAGTAAACATTTCCCTAAGCTTTTCTGATATAATTCATAACATAATTGTCAAATATAATAAACCCTCTGATATGTCCTTTTACGAACAAGAAATTGGACAGCTCAATTTATGCAAAAATCATTATTTGTGTCACTCCATAATTGTAACACAACATACGAGAAATGTGTGTACTGATATCGTCGCACTTCCACGTTTATGCTGTACACATACATAGATTGTGTACTGTCTTTGTATTTTCATTATTAGTGTTCATAATAATTGAGTTGAGAATTAGACACATGATTATGAGTGTGTATGTGTGTAATTATTTGACAAAATCTTTAAATTAGCAAGCATTTTACGTCAAGATGCAGATAAATCATATCGTCATACAAAAAAGATATGTCTATCTGTGTGTCTAACTGCAGCAATTTTATAATCCTACTCAGAGCATGCAAACATTTTTGTTACAATGTTATGACCAAACGATTTTGTCTATTATAGGACATTCGGTTCCTTAGAAAGTACTAATTCGTCATGTTTGATCTGCTTAGTGTCAGATTTCTAAAAATACAATTTTAACTCGGATAAAGAAGTGAACTGAAATGCGCGAATAAATAATTCCGATAAAACCTCAGAACAAACGCTATTTTGGAACATTTATAATAATCGTTTTATAAACAATTTATTCCGGCACAGGATGCTTATAACGAATATATGACACCGTATTTTAAGATGATGCTCGATCTATATCTCATATCCTCCTTTTAGAACTGTAATAAATTGCCTTCAGCAGAATATTAATTTTATATTGGATTTTAAGCGACACGAGAAGCTGTCACTGCTTTTCTGTCAATACTTGTCCGCGCTATGGACGTAGTTTTCGAGATTTAAGAGAGAGAACGAGAAGAGAAATCGAGATTCAAGATATCGGGGATCGATTGGAAGAATTGCTCCCGACGTTTTGAAGCGGTTATATCGAGAATATCTGGTTGAAAAATTGAAGAGCTATTGTAGATCTATGGCGATGGTTTTCGTATGGAGTGGATTCCATGAAAGAGAAAAAAAGATTTCAAAGAAAGATTGCGAAGATGAAGTCGATTCGGACGTGGAATGATACTGGGTGAAAGAATAACTATACGATCGTATTTTTATCGAAATTTATCACAGTGAGCTTTTGATTGATTCTAATATTACATGTAATATGTAACATGTAATACATGTAATATATTCAAATGAGAATTAGAATGAACAGTATCATCTGTAATGCATAAAATCATTATACGTGATTTTGGATTTACATCAGTTAGGCATATGTAGCTGACGTCAGTTATTTTGTCAATGCCATTTAATCAGTTACGTTTTAAATTAATTCCCTTTAAGTCAATGTGAATTTTTTAAAGAAATTTTTCACATATTCATACTCTCTAAAGTTTTGGAGTGAAAATAGAACCATAGAGTGAACTATTCGCTCTAGTAGAGTAAATATTTGCTCCAATAGAGCGAATATTTGACTCCATGGTTCTAGAGTTTCACTTCAAAAACTTTAGAGAGTATGTATTAATGATAAATTTCGTATATTAGCTAACATATAAAATCAAGAAATGCAAGTATAAGAACGAAACAAGATTGTGGTTTACAAAATTTCTTTACCAAAATTTAATTGACGGATGTTTTATCCCACTTCATGCAATGAATAATAAAATTGCGTTATACATACAAAAATTCCAGGGTAGAATTGTAAGAAACAGAAACGTGAAAAAATTCTTATAATTCTTAAGTACACTCCACGCTACAAAAAGAGCTGCACCTAATTTTCAGTTAAAATATCTATAAAATATCTATGACGAGTGAAAAAAATTTTAAAAATGCAATGTACAATCTACTATACTATTTGTTAGTATATTGTAATATTAATACCTAAAAAATTTGGATTTTCAATGAAAGTGTATAAGGGAAAAAGTAAGTTGTTCAAGAATTAATACAAGTTTCTTATTGTATCTTGAAAATATAAAATTAACCACGTATTTCACATTAAAACTGACGCTCCTAGCTGTTTAATACTGGAGAAATAAAAGTATTTGAGGTAAATCAATATTTTATTGAGCCACCTTTTGCCTTAACGACGTCTCGATATCGGTTTGTCGTTATTGTATTACATTTTTCATCATTCTGTGTACACCAAAGTTTATAGACAGCAGACTAACAAAATACCTTATATTTTTTAATTTTGCATTTATTATTATAGATATTCCAACAAAAATTTCGCGGCTTTTTGTTGCAGAGTATATACAGTCCTCGGGTATAGTGACTTGTTTTCGGACGCTGGCTTTATTTCCCCTCTATGAATTCTTAGTACTTTAATCGAAATATTCCTCTCTCTCTCTCTCTCTCTCTCTCTCTCTCTCTCTCTCTCTCTCTCTCTCTCTCCCCCCCCCTTCTCTCTCTCCTTGAGATTGGGCTATACCGATTCAAACTGATTTGATTCCACTGAGTGTGCGATATTCCAATTTAACCCCTCAGGCATGACTTTCTCGACGTTTCCATTTTAAGTGGTCGAGTCATGCGTCGTATACGCTAAGGTCTTAATACGTACCCAGCCCTAACATGATTGCACGAGTGGCACACGATCTTGAAAACGTTATTTACCGACGTATTATAGTCGCAGTCACACACCGTCGATATGTTTAAAGTTCGACATTTTCGCCCTTGCAGAAATTACATGTCAGTTTACGCGCAGCAATAAAAGTAACAGCTTTCGAGTATTGAGCACGCAAGCGTATAGTAACAACGATATTGCATTATTTAAAAGACATTATTTAAAAAATTCTGCAGGAATTTCTTTTGAACTTCCACCGACTGACAATCCGTATTATAATATTGCGGGTCAAACAAGAATTTGGCTGACAAAAAAATATCCAAATTCGCTGGTTCTGTCAGGTCACTTTCGCTCTTCGTAAATGGTCTGTGATTTATGATCCTTTGGACGTGCCTGGTCGAAGATCCGCCATTACGGAAACAGCCTGTAGTTCTAGATTCAGCTCATTAGGCAGCTGATTACGTGGACGTGCCTAAATCGAAGTTCTATACGTCAGGTCAATGGCGGCCCCGGCGTATTCCCGTGAAACTTTATTCTTATCTAGCGGGAACCACTTGGCGATCGAATAACTGGATTTATCGCGCGAATCTAGTAACTTTTTACTTCACTGAATTTCCGATAACTCGCCGCTCCCGAGAGCCGGGAGATGAAAGATCAACAAGAAATTCGGGGGTAAACTCGAAATTTTCTACCGACCGCGTTGGAGTCCGGACGCGCTAGTTCCGACCTTAAGTAAAAAAAAAAAAGAAAGAAAGAAAAGG